AAATCATTTGAAGGACGTCATTTTTATTAATTTTATGCTTGTGTTTTATGTTTTAGCGTGTTTTTTGCAAATAGGTAGGTAGGTTTTTGAAAGTTGAGTGGATGCTAAACAGAGAAAAAACTTGGAATGGCCTAACATCAAATTGCATTCACAATGGACAAATGTACAAAATACGAAATCATTCATTGATGAATACAGTGATTTTCAATTACATATTACCTATGTTTGAATTATAAGATAAAGCAATATACGATATATTTAAAACAATATTAAATTTAGTTTAAGTTTTTTTTATTCTAAAAAGTACTGTTTATATGTATGAATTGCCACTTAATTAAGTTCAGATTCGAAAGCTGTTTTTCCCCTCACAGATATAAATGACATGCAGTCAATGTTTTCATTCTGATTGGAGTGATATCCCCAATATAATCTAGAACCGCATGTTAAGAGGCTTATTGCGATTAGATGAGATCATTAATGGGTAATTACACCGAAAGAATAAGTTTCCGATTCTGATTTAACATCACTGGATCCCTAGGAACTGAAGAGATCTTCCTATGCGAATATATTTAGATAAAAATTACAAATACATGTAAAATCTTGCTGTTCTTTTTCGAACGGAAACTGCCATCCAAGCAAGGAGGTGGATTGGGTGCAATTGCCCCCCCCCCCTCTTTAAAGAAAGAAAAGAACTCACTTTTGAGACATAAAGAATTCAATATTTGTCTTAAGGTGTTTCCCCCCTCACAATTTTATAGGTTCAAAGTACAAAAACTGCATTCATTTTCATTTAATATACTTTAAATTTTCCAATTATTACAAAAAATGTATAGGTCACCATATTATTTAAGATGCGAAACATAAATAAACAGAAGTGTATGTCAACGTAAAAAATCGCACATTTTTTGTAAACAGTATTATGAAAAATATGTAAAAACTGGTTAAAATGCATAATTCTGATGCTGAATGTTCCTAAATATTTCCTACTTAAAAGATACTTTTGAATTGTGAATATCAGGGAAACTATTTTACAATAAAGCAAATGCCTGAATGAAGAGACCCTAGAAGGAGTTATTGCCCTTGTCAACATTTTTTAAAGATTAAATAATTGATTAAGTATAGTAAAAATGTATTTTTTAAATTCTTTAACTTAACAATATTTATTATTGCACCTATTGTAAAGCATTCTTCCAAGAGATATTGTTCTATTAGGTATGAATGTAAACTAACTACTGTTTTTACATGCCAAAGTTACATATTTTAGGATATTTATTTTATATCTTCATATCTTTGTTGAAACTCTGTATAAGATGGAAAGCTTGCATTTCATTTAAAATATTTCTCTCTCCAAATTTAAGAAGGTAGGGCATTTGCAAAAATGATCTGATTTCCCGTTGTGTGCCACATTATATTATTAATCCTTATTTTGAAACGGGCCAATTCTCTGGTTTTTATTCCTTCTAGCTTTGATTGGTACAAAATATTAGAATTTGCGCAAAATGAACGTAATTTCCCTTTTCTTTCTATTTTGGGGGGTTGAAAATATTTCTTCCCAATTAGGTCTATTTTTAATGAACACCTATATTGACTTGATGCAATGTATCAACTGGATAATGTATTGTGACTTGTCTAGTAGTCTGATTCTTAACAATATTTGCTGAAATTTTATTGACCGGAATAAATTTTATTTCTTATCAAAAATAAAAATTGTTAAATTTTAAAGTTGAAATCCTTCACGTCCTTGAATATGGTGGACTGCGGTAGTCAAGAAAGACAGCGAGGAGCTACAAACTTGGAAACCTCTTAACTCCAATCTAACAAGTACACACGGAGAAAGATTTAGATTGCTTTCAAAATGTTTTTTATTTCACATCATTTAAGTTTATATACACGAGCATAAATTTAGGTAAAACCCTAGATATAGTTGAAAATGTATCCAATTATTTTTTGATCGGCATATTTATCCAAACTCGGGCTCAGAATGCACAAACGCTGCTTTATCCTGGGCTCTCTTCGTCTACATTTAAGGCTGTCAGTCCCTTTTTAAGGACCATTGTTTCTGCGCGCTGGTCATGACAATTCACTTAACAGCACTTTCCCCCCATTAAGAAGTTGAGAAAACAAATCATCGAGGCCCCATTGGTCATGTGTATTTTGTGAAGTTGTTTTCTTCCTCGGTTTTGGACACGAGGGAATTCTCGAATTCGGGGGATCACGGCGCGCTGACCTTAAACAAACTTACCTGTCAGTGAGATGTCTAGGGAACCGGGAGGATTGGACCCTGGGGATAGTTTCCGGATTAGTCATAGGGCGGACCCGATAGTACGTGTTATATCTTATTCCGATCCGACCATGCTCTGCTTTTGTTTTGTATTGTTTTATGGACCTTGAGATTGAATACTGTTCGTTATCTCCATATACTTCATATTACCATTCCTTACTATAAATTTAAGTCCAGGCTTTTTGATATTCTCAGTTGATTCGATACAAAAGGGGATGATCTATGTACGATGACCTTCTAAAACGAGGTAAACCATTGATAAACAAGTTTATGAAACAAGAAAATCAACAGTCTCATTTAAAGTCATCATTTCGAAGATCTATGGTCGATACAAAGACCTTGTCAGCAAATAATCTATCACTAAGTCAAATGCTGACTGACGTTTTTCATACGAATTGTAAGGCTATCATTACACACTGAATTGCTGACGGATTTTCCCGCTATTTCCCGATCATGACAAGGAGCACACTGCAGGTGTGAACAGTTGGCAGGGAATGCTCACTCCTCCTTGGCACCTGATCCCACCTTTGATATTTTAGAGGCCCGTGTTTGCTCTGCTCCTGATTTTTATCAATTTGTTTGAATGGATTTTTGAGCTTGAATACTGTTCGTTAACTCTATAACATTAAATAATATTTCTTACAGGCGAAGGAATACTTGTAGTCATTAACCCATGTCAAATGTTTTAGAATTGACCCAACATCGGTGACGAACATGAAATCCGGATATTCCGTCATGAAGCAAGAGTCCATAAAGTGGCTTTTCGCTACATGTCCATTTACAGCGTTGTAATGCTATGTATTAATTTATTATAATAGATGACCGTGAAAAATTGGACTATTATTCGAATTCAAATTAATGGAGTTCTAGTTCCATAATACATTTATTACCATAGAACACTGACGCGACTATTCATAAATTTTTATGACTGGAGCAGATGTATATACTAATTATATGTCATTCTTTCTGCTATTAAGCTACCAAGTCCTCATTAATGTATATTAGATAGGAGATTAATTGTGATAAACCATACGCCCCAAGAAAACCCAAGTATACACCTTTCGCAAAAAGATTAAAAGATTAAAGAATACCGTAAATCTGGAAATTTTTAAGTCGACTTTACTAGTATTTTGCGAATTCGGGTCAAAATACAGCAAAAATTTCCAGATTTACAGTAATTAACATATCGTCTTAACAAGGAAAAATTACTATCATGAATAAAGGTATATTTTTATGCACAAGTAGTATATTCATGTACTTATACAAATAAAATGGACTCCATTTTTGAAAATCATTAAGTCATTTTTTCCACAATCAATTTTTTTCGTAGCACAATAATATAGACTTTAGAATGCAGTATTAAACAGATGATGAAAAGCCAGAAGAGATATATTTATTATCATAGAGATAAATATAAAAGTTAGTTATGATATGGCTTAAAAAATCTCCTATGGTCTGTGATTCTACGTTATATTTGTTCTTCATTCCCTTCGCTACATGCATGGGAATAGGAAAAAAAATCAGTGGGTAAAAATCCTATGCAACCCCCTCCTCCCAAAAAAACAATTCTGATTGTATTAGGTTAATTACGACTGGTGACCTTTCTGAACTTTGTCATTTATGCCACTTTTAACAAATGTATATTTAATTTCATGTATATATGTAGAAACAATTATTACAGTATATACAAATGACGTATTCTGACGCTTCTGTAATAAAATAATGATGAAGTCAGCGTTTGAGCAGATGCTTTTACAATTATGTGTCATTATTTGCGTGATTTACCTCATTCATCCCTATTTGCAGTGTATTAGATGGAAGATACTAGTATATAAATACCAAGCAAAAAATCTTTTTTGCAAATTGGAGAGATATACTTGCGTTGTAGAGTAAAAATTAGTGCATAAAAAGACCATGCAACAGGTAAAATTATTGATAATAATATTAATGAAACTTAAAAACCTATCAACGTAAAACTTTTTGTACTGATTTTAATGAAGCATATTTATTTTCTTTGCAATGTAGTAGTCTTTGGTACTGTTTTAATTAAATAAAATGATCATAACAAGAATATAATAAATTCTATTTGATAAAGGAATTTAATGATATGTCAACGTATGTTTGTCATTCTAAGTTAAATAAACATTTACAGACAGGATGTTTCTTTGGAATTTTGCTTCTCGCCAACGTGGTCCTCGTTGTTTTTTCCTGTAGTTGTATCATGCAAAATCCCTTCAACGGTTTCTGCGAATCCGAAAATGGTAGGTTTTCATCTTTCTGAATTTTAACAGTGTGTTATATGCACAATTAATTTACACAGTGTTTATCCTTGTTTCAGTTCTCGTTGTGAAAGCTTTGGAATTAATTGAGCATGAACGGATGAATTCATACAGGGCAGAAATTTTGAAAGTATTCAAGTCGGTAAGAAATCAACAATAAAGATAGTTTGCAACAGCTTGTTCTACGTATGAACAATTTCTAAAACGAGTTAAATTATTGACAAGCAAGTTGATGAAACAAGAATATCAGCAGTCTCGTTTAAAGTCATCATTTCGTAAGTTCTATGGTCGATACAATGACCTTGTCAGCAAATGCAATTTATCATTGAGTCAAATGCTGACTGACGTTTTTCATACCAATTGTTAGTCCATTATTTATACACTGAATTGACGACGGATTTTTTCCGTTATTTCCTGATCAAGACAAGGAGCACTCGGCGGGTGTGACCGGTCGGCAGGGGATGCTCACTCCTCCATGGCACCTGATCCCACCTCTGATGTCTCGGGGGTCCGTGTTTGCTCTGCTCTTATTTGTATTGTTTTATGGACTTTGAGATTGAATACTGTTCGCTACTTCCATATCCTTCATTGCAATGAGATTTAAAATCAAAATTTAAAACCTTTATTCAACCAATCATTTATGTATTCTATTTCATGAACTTAAGTAATAAAAACTTGTTTAACGTAGGATGCATATTTAGGAAGGAATGCAACAAAAAATTAACTTTCCTTTTTAATTAAAAAAAATCTAATTGTCATGTAGAGATTCTTATGTTTTTAGAATGTAAGGTTTAAAACTCATCTGTTTATGTTTCTCTTCTGGATTCAGAGAGAACCATTGACAAGAAACACAACAACTATAAATACAGCAAAATATGGAAGCCTTTGTGGAACATCCCTACCATTAAATGTACCAATGATGATATCACGTAAGGCAACATTCTGTCTAAAACTTTGTAATATAATTAAGGGAGAGTTACAGTTTTACTTAGAAAAATATCTTTTACAGATTCGAGTATTTAGTCGTTAATCATTTTTTCATATTTATTTCTCATTCCAATTGTTAGGTCTGTGATTTTACACTAAATGTGACTACGGAATGTTATAAGATAGGGCTCACATTTTATGTGGCAGGTCAACAGGGGATTCTTACTCCTCCTAGACACCTGATCCCTAATACATTCAGCCAGGATTGTCCAATAATATCACCAGGATTGTCCAATAATATCACTAAGTTTCGAAACATGTTGCATACACTTTTCAAACCCATGCCGCCTTTCAGAAATTCTCACATGCAATAAGAAGACGCTTGATAATGAAATCATATTCCATTTTGTACTATGTATTCACTGAAAGTAACTCTTTAGCCACTGGAGGTGGGAATGGTGGGTCTGAGTTCCAGATTGGATTGTGTGACGCAATAAGAATGAAGTACAGTGAACAACTTGAAAACTTCGGAGACGATTTAGATTGTAGTTGTAGGGTACGTAGACACTTTCTCTTTTTCTCTTCCTCTTTTCCCCTCTCCCTCTCCTACTGATATTTCATAATATAGTTTCTTAGTATACATTAAAAAAGATGTTGAAAGAAGAAAAAAAAATGTAATAACATAGTAAATATCATAAATAATTTGGAAAATTATGCACAAAGAAAGAAACACTAGTCTCCAAGAAAGATTTATTCTTGTTTCATTATTTTTTTTTATTTTCACGAGTGACTAAGATGTTCAATGTACGATGGCTGTTCAATAAATAATGTCCTGAACTGTATGACATACAATACAGATATTATATGACATTAAACCTTGACTTTCTCTCATTATTTAATCTTTACTGAATTTATAACAGTTTATATCACCACTTTTCATCACATAGTTTCATCGTGAGAAGCTGGGAAACAAGGGCTATTCGAGACACTGCATTATAAATGAATGGTAAAGAATATAGTAAACTAGAGTGAAAATAAAGGCTACATTAAAGCTGCTGTAAAACTTGTTAAAACTCACCCAAAGAAATATTCACTGAAATATATGTCATTTACAGCAACCAATGCCTGTTTTGTAGACAAATGAGCAGGTGGATTTCAATGATAAAAAATTATGTAATGGGCATCAAAAATGGGTACCCTCCTTGCCAACAAAAATTATAACAACTTATGCACTGTTTGTCAAATTTCAACAAATAATATTTGATGATGTATGATTGACTTTAAGACACATAGCAAATTTGATAGACATCATATCGGGTATAATTTACACTGTTTTTAAGAAACGCTTGACAGTAAAAAAGCTAGGTACTCAAAGGTCACCCTATATTTTGAAAAATGAGTGAAAACGACAACGTGTACGAAAGTCTTGACAATTATTTCAAAATAGCAGTAATTGTACTTATCCACGTTTGTTTTATATTCAAACAGATACTGGAACATGAATCTCTTGCTTTAAACCCTCAAAACAAAATTTACCGTAAGATGTACTTGATAAAAACGTCGACGGTCTGACAAAAGCAAAGGTATGCAAGAGCACAAAGAGAGATTTATATATGCAATTTTCTTAAGTATTAGTGGTATTGTTGTTCAAATTTGTATGTGGGGAGACAGTTTAATATCTGGAGGAGTCTAGAAAGCATTTTTTTGCAAAAAAAATCGAAAGATTTATTAGAGGAAGGACCCAGATTTACGAATCCACTACAATGAGTTTCTTCATGACAGCGTCCAAACCCGCATGCCCTGAAGAGTAAAGGGGTTTTCGGGATAAACAGAAAGTTATTGTTTTTTCACATCAACAATATTTGCCGGATCTTTGACCTTTTGATTTGTTCTATTTCCAAACTTGAAAAAAAACACCTTTTAGAAGGAAAAAAACAAGTCCAGGAAATCATTGGATCTGCCATTTTCCAGTATACTAAGGGTCATACCCAAAAATGAGTTCTAAAAACAATCAGAAATTGGATAAAAAATGTTACGGACATGTGTTTGAATTAAAAGAGATTAATAAGTAAAATCATGAAGACTAAATCATTGAAAAGCGTCGTTTGCTTCTTTCTGAGCCAATTTCTAATACGAGGCAAGCTATAGACAAAGATTTGATGAAACAAGAATATCGTTGAAAGATTTCGCAAGTTCTATGGTTGATACAATGGTATTGTCAGCAAAGACAATCTAACTTTATGTCAATTGCTTCATACTACTTGTTAGGTCATCAGTTAAACACTCACATGTTCGACTTCTTCTCAAGAACAACTGGGTCAATTTCAACCAAACTTGCCATAAAGTATTTTTGGGGTAAAGGGGATTCAAGTTTGTTAAAATGAAGAGCCATGCCATTTTCCAAGGGGAGATAAATACAAATCAGTAAAAAATTTATTTCATCTTTTAAAAATCCTCTTCTCCAGAACCACCGAACCATGAAAAATGAAACTTATATGGAAGCATCCTAAAGTAGTGTAAGTTCAAGTTTGTTTAAATAATGACCCCGGGGGTAGAGCGGGGCAGAAATGGTTGATCCAAGTTTTACATAGGACTACATAGGAAAATTCTTTAAAAATATTGTTCTCCAGAACAACTGGGCCAGGAAAACTTTTGTGGAAATGTCCTCAGGTAGTATAGATTCAAGTTTGTTCAAATCATGACTCCCAGTGGTAGAGCGGTGCCACAACGGAATCATCAAAAGTTTATATAAAATGCATTTCTTCAAAATCACTGGCCGAGGAAAAATGAAACCTATATGAAAACATCCTCAGGTTTTGTGGGTTCAAGTTTCTTTAAATCATGATCCCTCGGGTGAGGCGGGGGCACATTAAACCATTAAATTTTCTATAGGAAGATATAGGAAAAAATCTTATTGGTCTTATTAATATAGAACCCCCCTCAGGTAGTAAAGCTTCAAGATTGTTCAAATCATGTCTCCTGCCCTTGAGGATAGGTTGATACATGTGCTACTCATAAAATACTGAACTAGCCAAAGTGCTCAGGTGACCGACGAGGCCCATGGGACTCTTGTTATAGTCTAGTTGTTCTTATATATCTCATTTCATAATCTTGAAATGTTAATATTTGAATATCTGATTCTTGAGACATTTGACAACAGAAATATTGTCTAACATTTCGATATATCCTTTACGTAACATTTTGTATGATGCACAAAACTGAAATTCAATGATTTATTAAGATGTAATTGTGATTCAAAATTGTTTGATTGATAATTTTACTCCATGTCGAACCTTTCCCACGCATGACTAATATACAGTTTTCCTATATGAGACATATTTTTCTGTCCACCTGTCATTTTAAAGTTCTGTGTAAACCTCTTGTGATATTTCATGTTTTTTCTTTCCTCTCTTAATTTATATTTCCTTTCCTGTCGAATAATTGAGTCAATGGATTAATCGAAGATATATCAGATAGTTTTTCACAATGCATTATGATTCGATATTTCTTAAAAGCAAATTAATACTTACATTTATCATGTATTTTACACAATATTTGTAAATAAACATGTGTTTTAAATGAAAAATGAATGATCAATTTAAATGTTGAAGATACTATTTGTTAATAACAAAGAATAAATGTTTCTTTTCCTGTTTATTTCCATTATTATAGTTTGCTTTAAAATTAATCAAGGTTACTTCACTGGTGCGCCATTTGTGTACTTCATAACAAAACAATCATCCTTTTGGACAAAAGACTAATAATTATGTACAATGTCTTTTTTTTTTTTTTAAATGAAGCCAAAAAGCAATCTAGATAAATCAAGGGGAAACTCGGGATTACTGTACAACAATATTTTACATTTATTGCATGATAGTGAGGGAAACATGAAGACTTATTCAGCCACGAAAAATCATATTCCCCGAGGGCTTCGCCCGAGGGGAATATATTTCTTGGCTGAATAAGTCGTCGTGTTTCCCGAACATTCATGCAATGAATTGTTTATTATACCGAAACAAGCGCTCTCCAATTCTTTTCCATTTTTAACAAAACGTTACTAAAATTCTTTGGTCAACACATTATCATCAATTTTATGACGTAAACCAGATCATTGTGACGTCTACTATACTCTCGGGAGTTTTTTTTAAACGAACGATAATTTTTGCGGGAAAATGCACTAAGTATCCGAAGAGGTGGAATATGATGAAAAGCATGCCGACGGCCTGGAAATATGAAGTTGTACGGCCCGATCACGTGATAACTTAGAACCAATCAGATAACGCGTTGTTTAGAATATTTATAATGAGGTATAATAATATCGAAAAGTGATGTGCATAAGGTATAGATACTTTAAAAAATATATGGAACTTTTATTATTTGTAATTATTGTATACAATGTATTATTATTATTATTATTATAAAAAATGGAAATAATCTTCTATAAAAAGAAGTGCTGATTTCACAAAGCTTCTCGCTAATGATAAGCTTTATGTTTCGGCAAAAAAATTAATTCAACTTGTTTTTGTCCCGTTTAATATCATCATTTCGTAAGTTCTATGGTCGATTCAATGACGTCAGCAAATACAATTTATCATTGAGTCAAATGCTGACTGACATTTTTCGTACTAAATGTTAGTCCATTATCTACATACTGAATTGACGACGGATTTTTTCCCGTTATTTCCCGATCATGAAAAGTAGCACACGGCGGGTGTAACCGGTCGATAAGGGATGCTCACTCCTCCATGGCACTTGATACAACCTCTGGTGTTTTGGAGGTCCGTGTTTGCTCTGCTCTTAATGTGCATTGTTTAATGGACTTTTGAGCTTGAATACTGTTCGATATCTCCATATGTTTCATTTTAATCATGATAATCATTATGTTCTCTAGTACATGTATTGTGGTTACGTAGATGTAACAATAACGATAATTAGAATCAAATGTATAAATATATTAGAATGATTTTTTAATCATAATAAAACAAATAATAGTCTTGGAACTTATTACATTCCCTAATTATATATAAATTACTCTATGAGTAAAATGGAAACAGAGCTTTTTTTAAGTCTTAAATATGTGTTTAAGCTGACAGAGAAAACTTGTGCTTTGTTAATATCTTTTAAATTTGATATTCTTTTTTATGTATACATTTTAAATAAAAAAAATATGTAGCCCTTTCATTTGGTCAATCCAAAGATATATCGACTGGATCGACCTTATAAAGGGGCTAAAAGTAGTGACTTCCATTCATAAAATTGGCAACTTGATGTACCAAGTGATTTTGGCAAAAATGATACAAAGAATCTGTTTATATTTGGATATTAAAATAGAAAAAGTCGTTAATGGTAATGTAACAACAAAACTGTATGTCAAACGTGATGACTTTTCTTTCTTCAATTTTTCTTATTCATGTATAGTAATATACCATTATCACCTGCATGTTGGGTTAATTTTATGTCTCCCAGTAAAGTCGATACGCGAGAGCATGCTTTATATATAGCGTTTTATTTTCTAAATTGAGGCAAGCTATTGACAAACCAGTTAAAGAAATATGG